ATAGTTGCTTAGAGTTGCAGCTGAGAGGCTGGCAAGTGAGGCGGCGAACGTTGGAGTCTGCAGCAAGCAAGCCTCCCTGCTCGCTTCAGTGCCTGGCTGCCGGCCGCCATCTTGGCTGACAGTTAATTTGCATATACTCACTGATTAGCCAATGAAAAGGGTAGCGGTCGTACGCCAATTACCATGTTTCTCTTTTATTAGTGTAGATAGTAAGTAAGCAAATAAATAAATAAATAAATAGGTAAGATACACCTAAGGTTTTGGTATATGATGAACCAGAGATTATGTGTGAATGTAAATTTCATTTTTAAAAAAGTTTATTGTGAATTGAATCATTATTCCAAGAGAAAATTGAAATCACTTTAGAATTATTTTGATATTTATGCAGTAATAAAAGCATTGAAATCTGGTTATTCAATCCTTACCTTCCTTTAGAGTTTCTTTTGTTAAGCTTCTTCCATAGTGCTGGTTTTGTGTCTCATAGCTATCAGAATGAACATGATAAACCTGTCAGAAAAAGCAGTGAATATTAAAAATGATTACTTCTTGACTGTGTGGAATTTATCACAGCAGTGGCTAAAGATAGAAAGATCTATTCATATGAGTCATCCTAATGAATTGAAGGGGGAAAAAATCATGTCGTCATATCAATAGATTCTAAAAAGGCATTTAATAAATTTACATCCACTATCGATGAAAACTCTTTAAACGGATAGATGAATATTTCCAATAAGAAAAATGATCTACCTCAATCCACCAAAGGTCAGTGTCAACTTAAGTTTAAAGTGGAAATAAAAAAAAAAAAAGCACCTGTCCTAAAATATAAGAAACTTCCAAAAAATGTGTTCTACTACAATGTCTTTTAGCATCACTACTATCTAATGTTCTATAGCCTCTAGCAAATGCAAATAAGACAAGAGAAAGAAATTAGAGGAATAATAATTTGGGAAGGAAGAGATAAAATATTACTCTTTATAGGTAATGGACATATACTGAAAAATCAACTGAAAAACTAATAAAAACTTGAAATGGTGACTGAGTACAAATTAGTAAGCAGGAAATGAGCTTTGATATACACAAATAACTGGTTAGAAACATAATGGAAAACTCCATTTACAAATGCAACAAAAGAGAAATAAACTAAATAAAGGTACAATCTATATAAAGACATTTTTAACAAATTCCTAAGACATACACACAAACACACACCCATGGTCTCAGAGAGGGAGACTCAATATAAAAGATGTCAATTCTTGTACCCCTATGTTCACTGTAGCATTACTTATAATAGCTAAGATTTGGAAGCAGGCCAAGTGGCCATCAGTGGATGAGTGAATAAAAAAGCTGTGGTACATTTACACAATAAAATACTACTCAGCCATAAAAAAGGAAGGAAATCTTATCCTTGTGACATCATGGATTGACCTGGAGAGTATTATGCTAAGTGAAATAAGCCAGTCAGAGAAAGACAAATACCATATGATTTCACTCATATGTGGAATCTAATGAACAAAATAAACAACAAAATAAAAACAGACTCATAGAGAACAGAACAGCTATTAGAGGGGAGGTGGGTTGTGGGGCTGAGTGAAAAAGGTGAAAGGATAAAGCAAAAAAAACCCCAAAACCCTCAGACACAGACAACAGCACGGTAATTATCAGAGGAAAGGACAGTGAGGGAAGGTGGGAGAGGTATAAATAGTAATGGAAGGAGACTTGACTTGGGGAACACACAATACAATATACAAATGATATATTATAGAACTGTACATCCGAAACCTATAATTTTGTTAACCAACTAGAGGCCCGGTGCACGAAACTCATGCACAGGTGGGGTCCCTAGGCCTGGCTAGCGATCAGGGCCGACTGGGGCCAGGCTGATCAGGGCCAGGCCGATTGGGGCCTGAAGGCCCTGGCGGGGTTGGGAGAGGAGGTGACAGTCACCGGGCCAGGTGTGGGAGGAACGGACGCCGGACGCCAACACTGCTTTTGGCGCCCCGCCACCGTGTGGTAGCCCGCCTCTCCCCCTCCTCCTTCTCTCACTGCTGCACCGTCACTGGGGCCTGCCGGCCGTGGGAGGTTGACCACCAGCCACACCACCACCCACCCCGGTTCCCCGTTTAAGCCCAGGGCCCGGGGGGAGGGACTGTGGGAGGTTGGCCGGCCAGGGAGGTTTGCTGTGGAAGCACACTGACCACCAGGGGACAGCTCCTGCGTTGAGCGTCTGCCCTCTGGTGGTCAGTGCACGTCATAGCAACTGGTTGTTCCAGCCACTCAGTCGTATTGGTCGCTTAGGCTTTTATATATATAGATGTTACCCCAATAAATTCAATAAAAAAATCAAAAATTTAAAGATATCAATTCTACTTAAATTAATCCACAACTAAAATGAAATAATAGTAAAACACCAACAATTTTTATAACCATATAAGCCAATCTAAAGTACATATAGAAAACGACATATCCCAGGAGGGCCAAATCATGCAATGCCTTTTTTACTTATCCTGTATATGTACCCTAAAGTAATGGAATCCCACTGAAGAGTTTTTAATAGGAGAATGCCATGATTGTTTTACAATGTCTGGAGAACAAATTGAAAGAAAGAAAAACTGAACTTGAGAGATCAGTTAAGAGACTAGGTTCTGTAAAAGGATAATGGTGATAATGGGATTTGAGATGCTGGGGAATTAAGATCAATAGGATTGACGAATGGCTCTACAGCTCCTGCGTTGAGCGTCTGCCCTCTGGTGGTCAGTGCACGTCATAGCAACTGGTTGTTCCAGCCACTCAGTCGTATTGGTCGCTTAGGCTTTTATATATATAGATGTTACCCCAATAAATTCAATAAAAAAATCAAAAATTTAAAGATATCAATTCTACTTAAATTAATCCACAACTAAAATGAAATAATAGTAAAACACCAACAATTTTTATAACCATATAAGCCAATCTAAAGTACATATAGAAAACGACATATCCCAGGAGGGCCAAATCATGCAATGCCTTTTTTACTTATCCTGTATATGTACCCTAAAGTAATGGAATCCCACTGAAGAGTTTTTAATAGGAGAATGCCATGATTGTTTTACAATGTCTGGAGAACAAATTGAAAGAAAGAAAAACTGAACTTGAGAGATCAGTTAAGAGACTAGGTTCTGTAAAAGGATAATGGTGATAATGGGATTTGAGATGCTGGGGAATTAAGATCAATAGGATTGACGAATGGCTCTGAGAGGTAATGGTGACTACTAGGTTTCCAGCATGTGTAAAACTAGTGCTGCCATTTATGAGGTAAGGAATAATCTCAGTATTTGTTGAGATTTCTTGTGGTTGGTTGCGAGATGAGTGTATCGCTTTTTTATATATTAGTTCTAGATGTTTTTAAGTCACCCTAGTAAAATGTCTGGTAGGGTTCTAGCTATCCAGATTAGGAGAGCAAAGAAAAAGCTGAGGCTACAGATATGCCTTTGGGAGTATCAGTGTAAGTGAAACTGATCCAATAAGAACAAAGGACACTGCTTAGGAAGAAACAGAAAATAAAGACAGTAAAATGGAACAGAGTGGAATGCCTCAACACCTAAAGAATAAACAGGGGGGAAAAATTAGCTGGCAAAGAAAACTGCAAAGTAGCCTTTGAAAACACCAGGACAGGGTGTAATATCAAGGACACAAAAAGGAATGTTTCCAGGAAAACGTAGTCAGCCTTGAAGGCTGCTTTTCAAAGTGCAGTAAGGTTAGTAATGAAAATGGCATTTAGATTTAGTGACATGAAGATGTCATTAGGGACCTTAGTGAAAGCTGATCTGGTGGCATGGTAGAGCAAATGCCAGATTGGAGGCTGAAAAATACTAAGTGGGAAGTAAGGCAATGGAAATAACTATTTTGATTGTGAAAGGGAGGCAAGTTAAACCCATTGGTGGACAGCAGAGCAAGGTAAAGGTAGGTTTTGATGATGTTGTTTTTTAAAAATTGAGCGTGATCTGAACATATATAAAACAAAAGGAAGAGTGTCAGGAAAGAGACAGAAGTTGAAGATATAAGACAAGAAAGAATCAATAGTATTAGATTCCTAAAGAGGTGGAAGGGAATTAGATCCAGAGGGCATAGGAAAGGGCTGTCCTTAGGACAGAAAATTCATCAATGTGAGAGAAAGAAATAAAGGGGAAATGAAAGCACTTGTAGGTTAGGTATGCACATCTGTTGGCAGGAAAGTAAAGGAAATCCTATCTAATGGCTTTAATTTTTTTCTGAAACAGAAGGCAAGGTCCTCTGAAAAAAGTGAAAAGGAAAGTGGGAGGGTAAAATTTGAAAACAGCGGATGTTTAAATAGTTGCTCCTGTGGGATGTTTATTTCTTATTTGTTTTAACATTATGCCATTAATCCTTTTTCCTTTTCATGTATACCTGAAAGGGCGAGGGCTACGCCCTCCATCTTGCCCCGGATCCTCCATTTTTGGGCAGCAGCCATTAGCCATGTGCTCAGCAAGGAGCTTCTTCCCAGAAGCCCAAGCCTCTGCTAGCCACACCTAGGATTTCTTTAAACTAACCAATGATAATCAAGGGAAGTGCGCGCCATAGACACGACCACATCCTGTGTAACAAGACACCGACTTGCGCCTGGCCAATCGGCAGGGCCCACAGTCCTCTCTCTTCCCCTTACTCCAACCCCCCTATAAAACTCCTCTCCCCACAGAGCTCTCTCTCTCTCTGCCTCCTGCCACTGCGTCGGCGAGTGTGGTGGACAGGGAGCTCAAGCTAGCTCGAATAAAGACTCTTTTGCTTCTGCATCGGACTCGGCTGGCTCCCTGGTGGTCCTTTGGGGATCCTGAAATCTGGGCATAACATACCCACATTTAATTATCATTTTCTAAATGAAACAACTGCATCAACAATTCCTTTGATCAGAATACCAAATTCAACTGTGCTGTTATAATTATCACATTAACAATCCATCTATAATGCTTCCTATTTTTTAACTCTCCTATTTAAAACTCAAAAGATCCATATATCATCTTTTATGATGAATTTCAAAACTACGCCATTATGTTTATATAGGTAGCAATCAATCATTTATCAAACTTAAACTTCACACTTCTAACCTCTATTTCCAGAGCCCTTGTAGCTCCCACTCTTGCCTTTTAGGATTGTGGCACATGAAGAAGCTCCAACTAGCCTCCTGGAGGATGAGAAACTGTGGGAAACCGCTTATTGTCTTCACTAGCAGAGAGGTGTAGACAGAGAACCCGGAAGGCTGGTGACCTTTGAAGCCCTAGCAAAGGTCAGAGCTGTGCACCACCTCTGTTAATCCAGATAATGGTAGCTGAAGCAACCTCCCCACCTTTACTCATGTAAATCCTTATTGATAAGATAGTCTGTGTGTTACTGGAACTTGCCTGCCTAAGGGCTATACTATGGGTGGATCCCAAACCAATACAAGGTTGGTGTGGCCTGAGCATCAATGGAAGTCCTTCCTCTTGAGTTGGACTTACCCTCCTGGCCCCCCAATATTTCCAAAGTATCTCTTGTCTCTTCTCTTTCACTTGTGTGCAGCTCCTCTTCCAGGTCCTGAACCCTGAACCACGCGGGACGTGGAGGGAAACATTTACCACAAGAAACCACAGGAAAAAGGCCCATCCGAAAGTTAGAATAAGCTCCACCACATAAGTGAGGTCATTGTAGACCACCTAGCCCCAGCAGAACCATCAGATGAGTGCAGCCACACAAGGGACCCTGGGTGAGATCAGCAGAACTGTCTACTTGAGGCCAGCTCAAATTGCCAACCCACAGAATCATGAGCAAATCAAAACAACTGTTTTTAAACCACAGTGACCTAATTTTAGTTTCCCTTTTCCACTTAAAAAATATAGAAAAATTACTGAATATATAAACATAGTACTTTCCTCATGGCAAAATCATAAACGATATAACATTAACTTACTACGTCATTTATATTACAGCTAAACTTAAAGCCTCTTTAAAACAAAATTACCAGAGTTGGACTCTTGAGGTTCATCCATTTATTTATTAATCACATACTATGTGTCATAATCATTCCAAACACTGACCATATATCAGTGAACAAAAAATAAAAATATCTGCTCACATTGGGGAGTTGCAGACAACCAAATTTCAAAATATATCATCTTATATATTAGTATTATGATGACATCTATAATTTTCAAGAAAAGAACATGTAAAGAAAAATATGTGTATTATACTAATAATCACTCTTACCCTCATGCCAAGCACCAAGAACCCAATCTCTTCCATTAATGGGTACTTGCTGACCTGTTGCTGAATCTTCTCAGATGAGGCAAAAGGATCATAGCTTTTTCGCCCTATCTTTACATCCATTATACAGGGCTTATTAAATTTATGGGTCACATCTTCCAGTTTTAGGTATAAATCTGTTATGAGAGAAAAACTTTAATTAGTGATAAGCAAACATATTACCACTCAAATAACTTCCAGGAGAAACAAAATGAGGAAAACTTAAAACTGAGAAAAAAAGTTAAAACAACTCCAGAGTCAACAATTAGTATAAATATCACAGAGAAACACTTGCAGGAGGGTGATTAAATAATATTCAACCATTAGTAAAAGGTATGAAGTACGAGATGTAAGGTTTCCAAGGACATTAAAAAGGCACAATGAGAGCCCTGGCCAGTGTGGCTCAATTGGTTAGTTGAGTGTCGTCCCTTCAGGGCACATGCCCAGATTTTGTGCTTAATCCCCAGTAGGGGGCGTGCAGGAGGCAGCCACCAGATGTTTCTCTCTCATGGATTACCGAAGAATTTCTATAATATTTACACGTATTTATTAGAAAGTCTGAGGACTATAAAGGAAATAGTTGTGGAGACAATAAAACCCCTTCTAAAGAATCTTTTAAACTGAGTACTCAATCACAGTATCTAGATATCCAATTTAACACCATCCTCAACAACCTTTAGAAGTCACATTCTTGAGGAATAATCCTATATAATAAAGAGCTAATATGCAAATGGTAATCACACCCTCCAGCCAGGGGACCTGAGGCCGTGCCCCCTGCCCTGTGGGGCTTGACGGGGGTGGGGCCGGCCCGGTCTGGGTCTCACGTGATTTTGAGGCACGCGCCGGTGGACGGGGACTTGACTCTGGGTCTCGCCGCACGCCCCAGACTCTGACAGGAGGGAGATTTTTCATATACATTTTACTAATTTTCTTTCATCTCTGACACTTCTATTATAGAGAAAGGGCAAAGAGCAATATTAAAATATTTCCTCTAATTAATTCCCTTTTAATGTGCATGAATTTTGTGCACCAGGCCACTAATGATTAAATAATGTTCTAAGTTAAACATTAATCAGTAGCAAAATTCATTGAAATCTAGGTATCTTACATTACAATGGAAATTTCTATAATCACAATGACTTGTGAAATAATAATTTAAGCAACATGCTGATCTGAATCAGAAACATACATTTGGGACTAATAGACAAGGAAGGAAGGGGGGGACAAAAAGGGAGGAGAGGGGAAAGAGCCTAGGCTCACTTTTTCCCACTCCCATACAACTGAAATATAGGCAAATCCTAAATACCCAGGGGAACCGCTGATTTAGTATTACCTAACTAAGGATACTCACAGGAGAATACTATGATTCCCTATTGATGAAACTTGATACACAGTCCGTAAGTCAAAGGAAGACAAAGAACTAAGGAAAAGAATAAGCTCAAGCTGGAGCCCCCTTCTTTCCTGTTCTCAAAATGTAGTCCAAGTACTATCTACATTAAAAAAGCTTGTCGCTTTTAAAAAATATACATTTTTTTTATTGGTTTCAGAGAGGAAGGGAGAGGGAGAGAGAGAGAGAGATAGAAACATCAATGATGAGAGAGAATCATTGATCGGCTGCCTCCTGCACGCCCCCCATTGGGGATCAAGCCCGCAACCAGGGCATGTGCCCTTGACCGGAATCGAACCTGGGACCCTTCAGTCCACAGGCCGACACTCTATCCACTGAGCCAAACCAGCCAGGGCAAGCTTGTCGCTTTTAACAAGCATATCACTGAACTCCAACATAAACCTTCATAATCAAAATGTCTGGGCGTTTAGCCTATTAATATGCATTTTAATAAGCCCATGGTTATTCTTAAACTCAGTCAAGTTTCAAACTCTTACCCCATTCACCAACCTTCTTCAATAGTTACACAGTCAAGCTGCTTGTTTAATTAAATTCTGTCTGCTCAAAGGCCCAGAAGTGGCAAATACTGCTTCAAGTATTAACTAATATTAAGAGAGAGAAATGTTGTGCCCTTACATAGATCAGTTTGTCCTCTATAAAACTTACTGGTATTTTTTTAAATATTGCAATTTAAAGCCCTGAAGTGTGGGATGAAGAAGTGGGATATGAGACAGGGAGGAAGTTATGCAAGGAAAATATATTTCCTGATGTTTTTTCCTATTCAAAATGAGAAAAAAAAAATTGCCCAGACATTACAAAAAAGCAAACATCTGTAAATTAATACAGTATTAAGTACTAGTATATATATTTTCATTCAATTATAACAGACTGATCATTAATTTGTATATACCATTTAAGAAACTGGTTATGAAGAGCAAAAGTATTAATAAGTTTCTTTAATGAAGTAGAGAATGATTAGAAAAAAAATCACACATGTATTCAGTTTTTATAATACTAGGCTCACTTTTATATAAACCTTTTATAAAACCACTCTCCTGAACTAAGAATAAAAGTTTTGCCCTGATCGGTTTGGCTTAGTGGATAGAGCGTCGGCCTGGGGACTGAAGGGTCCCAGGTTCAATTCCGGTCAAGGGCATGTACCTTGGTTGCGAGCACATCCCCAGTGGGGGGTGTGCGGGAGGCAGCTGATTGATGTTTCTCTCTCATCGATGTTTCTAACTCTCTATCCCTCTCCCTTCCTCTCTGTAAAAAATCAATAAAATTAAAAAAATTTAAAAAAGAATAAAAGTTTTTACCTAAAAACTTACCATTTGGTGCAGTGGGAGGTGACCAGATGCCGTAATATTTTGGCAAATATTTTCGTAGCTCTAAAAGAACACCATCAGTACAATCAGCAGCATAAACCTGAAAGAGAGAAATAGAACTTGCATATTAGTTTCTTATACTGTTTTACAAGTGCCCTACACTTTTCTCAAATAAAATAATACTGTTTGTCATAATATATCGAAAATTTTGAATAAGCAAAAAAAAAAAGAGTACACTGTGTTTCCAATGAAAAATTATGTATTGTTTAGGTTATCTAATTCTAGCCTTTCACTGTCCTTGAACTATTTTACAACAAAATAAGCTGTAGATAACTCTTAGCAGATGCAAAATAATTCTTACAAATAAATTCTGGCCAGGGAAGGTTCTCAGAACTTTCATGGAAGGTGGGAGTTTAGTGAACATTCCTAAATTCATCTCAACTTCCCTTTATTTCATATAAATGTGTGCTTCTTTGACTTTTTTTTGAACCAGTTTTAACATCTGCCTAGTTCCCTCATTAAATAATAAGTTTAACAAAATCTTTAACACGTACATATTTGATATCTGTAAGGAAGTTGTGGTTTTACCTTTTTTAAAAAAATATCCTTTCCCTCAACGTAATTCTAATCATTGCTCACTTAATTTGTTGATTTATAAGCAGTAATAATTCTAGAAAATATTAGACAAGTCTAGATGTTGGGAAGCAGGAGACTTGGTTGGAAAGTTTGTAAGGAGGACATGCTGATAAAAGGGAAGTGTGTGGAATTCTGACTTAGGGGAGACAAGGGAGTGTCGAAGGCAGTGCCCCTAATTATTCCTTGACCTGTCCAAACAAGCCTGTGCTTATGCAGACCCCCAGCTGAAAAGCCGGGCCGCCTCTATTGCCCGCCTCGTTAGGCCTTTATTGGAATTTTTATCTTTATACAATCAGTAGGGCGAGTAATCTTGGGAGGACACATGTTTACAAGGTACTCTAGGCCAGGGCATCCAGGGATTAAGCATAATTCCAATAAACATCTGGGGGTCTGCATGTGCACAACTGACCTTTAAACTGAGAGCTGATGTTTAACTGGAAGGCTGCTTTCTCCTTCCACAGCCTCCCACGCCCCTCACCCTTATTTTTTTCGCCAAGCTGTCTCTGCCTCTCCTTAGTAGCTGAGCATCTTTGGGAACATTTAAGGGAATGTGAGCACAATGCAAAGTGTTTTTACAAGTATGTTGTGGTGTATACACTTTGTAAGTACTTTTTTTGTTGTTGATGAGGCAACCATTTGTAAAACATTCAAAATAATTCCACAGTTCTCAGGCAGTAGTCTAATCCCTTTCTCACTTTTAGTAGGTAATTTTTCAGCTTAATCCACATTGTCCTCTCCATAGAGGAGGGAAAGAGATATGGGTCTGCTTTACTGAGAGCCAAACAGAGCTCAGAGAAAGACTCCACTATGGTTAAAAATATGCCCCTTGCCCTAACTGGTTTGGCTCAGTGGATAGAGCGTCGGCCTGCAGACTGAAGGGTCCCAGGTTCGATTCAGGTCAGGGGCATGTACCTTGGTTGCAGGCACATCCCCACTAGGGGGTGTACAGGAGGCAGCTGATTGATGTTTCTCTCTCATCGATGTTTCTAACTCTCCCTTCCTCTCTGTAAAAAATCAATAAAATACTTTTTCTTTTAAATGCCTCTTTCCAGGAACAAAGAAAAGAATAAAAGGGAAAAAGAAGGATGGAAAATGCCTGGTCAGTGTTGGCTCAGTGGATGACCATCAAACCATGCACCAAGAGGACGCTGGTTCGATTCCTGGTCAAGGGCACATACTGGGGTTGCAGGTTCAATCCCCCACTCCCTTACAGGCACATGTGTCTCTCACATCTCTCTCTCTCTCTCTCTCTCTCTCTCCCTCCCTCCCTCCCTCCCTCCCTTTCCTCTCCCACTAAAAATCAACGGGAAAAGATATCCTCGGATGAGTATTAAAAAAAGAAGAAGGATGGAAAGGAGAAAGGAAGAAAGAGAAACAGAGACAGGCATTCCCAGCAGGCGTGGCTCAGTGATTGAGCATCGACCTATGAACCAGGAGGTCACAGTTCGATTCCCACGATTCCCAATCAGGCCACTTGCCTGGGCTTCAGGCTCGATCCCCGGGAGGGGGTGTACAGGAAGTAGCCAATGGATGACTCTCTCTCATTATTAATGTTTCTCTCTCCCTCTCCCTTTTTCTCTTATACACACACACACACACACACACACACACACACACGAAACAGAGATAGGCAAAAGGCTCTGATAAATTTATAGGTAAGTTCTATCAAGCCTTTAAAGAACAAAATCTTTTATGTGAAAAATTCTTCCACAAAATACAATAAGAAATGCTCCTCAACTCATTTTATCAAGCTAAAAGAATTTGATATCAAAGACAAAATTTAAAGAAAAAAATAATTCAATCTCATTTATGAGCATGGCTGGAAAAAATCTGAAATAAAACACTAGCAAACAATATTCGGTAATTCATATTATTAAAAATAAAAAAGACATTCTAGTAGGTTTCATTTCAAAAAATGAAAGGTGATATAGTATTAGATAGCTGTAACGGCATTTATGACATTAGTAGATTAAAGGAGGAAACTCATGCTAATTTCAATAGATATAGAAAAGGTAGTTCAAAAATATTCAATACCTATTCATATCATACTTTAAATTGTTTCCTGAAATAAAAATGGAAAGGATGCTATATATTTTCCCTTTCCACCTCCACAATTTTCTTCCCAAGAAGCTGACCTGAATCAGCTGCATCAGTGGGATCCCTTGCCCTCTGGTCATTCTCTTACTAGCGGGAGACAGTTGAGGTTGGATTATTTACTTCTCTAGTTCCCTCCTTATCAGTCCATACCTTCTCATAAAGTTACGTTCCCTGGTTCCAGTAACCACTCCCTCTCCTTACCCTTAGAGGCCCAGGGATGGTATAGCATTATCTTAACTCTGACCACGCCTAGGTAAACAATCCCTTTATTAAACTGACAGAATACATAATTTATCTCTTGTCAGAACCTTGACTCTCACAAAAGGCAATTTCCTTAACCTAGGAAGAAGTATCTACCAAAACTTTAGAAAGAAGACATATTTTAACAGGGAAATGTTAAAAGCACTTTTGTTATATGAGAGGAAGATACCCCCATCATTGCTTCTATTGAGCCCTGAAATGGAAGTCCTTGACAGAAGTGTATGGATTCAAAAAGGACAAACAAAACTTCCAATCACAAAATATATAATTATCTATATAGAAAACAATTAAAATTGTTAGGGAATCTCAGATAAATATGAGTTAAAAAGAATTCAGCAAGATTACTAGACAAAGAACACTAGATAAATATCTATTTTATTCTTATATATTAGCAATCATTGGAACACTTAATTCAAGAACTACCGTTTACAACTGAAACAAAAAATAAGGTACCTAGAATAAATCCAACAAATTACGTACAAGACTTTTACAGAGTAAATATAAAATACTTTCTTCAAAAAAGAGACATTATGTAACAGCTAAAAACATATATCCTAGAGCTTAGACTGCCTACATTCAAATCCTGGGACCACCATTTACTTTAGCATGATCATGATCAAATTATTTAAATTAATCATGCCTTAATGTACACATGTATAAAATGAAGCTAAGAGTACCTATCTCATAGGTAGTTGTGAGGGTTAAATGAGTTAATAATGGTAAAGCATGTATAACAGTACTTGTTTTTTAACTTTAGCTTGTATCTTTTTACTTGTACCTAAACTTAAGAGCTAACATCATAGCATTTAGAAGAAAATATAACTTTGGATATGACACCAAAAGCACGAGACAAAAAAAGAAAAAAGATACACTGAATTTCAATATTTAAAAATTTTAAGCTTCGAAGAATACTATGAAAAAAGTGAAAAGACAACCCAAAGAATGGGAGAATATATTTGTAAATCATATATCTGACAAGGGACTTGTATCTAGAATATGTAAAGAACTTCTATTTATAATAATAAACACATAATATGCTAATTAGACTGGACAGCCAAACGACCTTCCGGTCGAAGCGGGGGCTGCAAGGGCCAAGCCCCTTGCACGAATTTTTCACATCGGGCCTCTAGTGACTAAATAAAAGACATCCCAATGAAGAAATGAACAAAGGATCTAAACAGACATTACTCCAGAGAGGATTTAGACATGGTCAGTAAGCACATGAAAAGATGACCAACATCATTAGCCATTAAGGAAATGCAATTAAAATATACCACAATGAGGTAACAACACTTCACACTCACTTGGATGGCCCTTAAGAAAGAAAACTAAGAAGTGCTGGTGAGGATGTAGAGAAATTAGAACCCTCATACATTGCTATGGAAATGTCAAATGGTGCAGCCACTTTGTTAAACATTTGACAGTTCCTCAAAAAGCTAAATGTAGAATTATCATATGGCCCATCAATTCCAGTCTTAGATATATACCAAAAAAAAAGTGGAAACAGGTACTCAAACATATATTTGTACATGAATGTTCATAGAAGCTCTACTTACAAAGGCCAAAACGTAGAAACAGCCCAAAGGTACATCAATGGATAAATGACACCAAAAGCACAAAATGTGGTAAGTGTAACGGAATATTACTCAGCCATAAAAAGGAACAAAGTACTAATGCACACTATAATATAGGTGCACCTTAAAAATATGAGACCAAAAAGAAACTGGACACAAAAGGTCACCTATTGTATAAACAGACTGGTGGTTGCCAGGGATTGGGAGGAGGGAGGAACAAAGCATCATGCCTTCAGAGTTATAGGGTTTTCTTTAGGTGATGAAAATGTTTTGTAACTAGACAGAGGTGGTGCTCCTAGTCATATGGTTCATTAGATGTTAAGTCTGTCCCTTACCACCCTGCTTTGGAGATTTACAGTGCACATCAGCACTAGGCTAAGAAATCCTATCGTGAAAACATTTAAACTCAGCATTTCTGAGAAATATAAACAGTCTCTCAGGTGTTTTTCAAAATGTAGGTCACAACCCATTAATAAAAATCAATTTAGTGGATCGGAATAGAAAATACTAAGCTGCATCAGTAAAGGTAAGCGTTATATTTCATTAAGCTTTTGTTTCAGTCACACACACATTATACTAAGACATGCTATCAAATATATTTCTTACTAAGTCACCACCAGAAAACTGAAAACCACTATGAATACAACAAACAAATCTTACCTCACTTACCATATTATAGAATTCTAACTCTCTTGGGCCCCTTGGAGGTGGCTGTAGCTGTTTCAAAACTGTGCCATCTGGATGTTGCAAGATACCTATAGAACAAAAATCAGATACTGTATTTTTTAATGCTTTAGTAATAGTGTATCTTGCATCCTAGAATAGATTTAGATGTGTTCCTGAAGTTAGAGATAAACGACTTTCATAAATTTAAGGGTTTCCTTTTACGTATTTCAGAAATTTTAACATTCAACCAACATGTTTCAGTGCTTGTTCTATGCAAAGCACCAGAACACAAATTCTAAATAGCTTGGTTTTATTGTCTCCACAACTATTCCCTTATAGCTCCTTCAGACTTTCCAGGAGATGTTAATTTATAGTTAAACAAGAAGCAAGTTAAAAGCAGTAGCAAAAATCGATCTCACTTTTATAGAGAAAAAAATGTTAACGGTGGACCAATATGAATCTTCTACTTTGTAATTTCTTATAAGTTTCTCTCATCTGTTATAAGAAAGCACATTTTTTTTTTATAGGTGCACCTTAAAAATATGAGACCAAAAAGAAACTGGACACAAAAGGTCACCTATTGTATAAACAGACTGGTGGTTGCCAGGGATTGGGAGGAGGGAGGAACAAAGCATCATGCCTTCAGAGTTATAGGGTTTTCTTTAGGTGATGAAAATGTTTTGTAACTAGACAGAGGTGGTGCTCCTAGTCATATGGTTCATTAGATGTTAAGTCTGTCCCTTACCACCCTGCTTTGGAGATTTACAGTGCACATCAGCACTAGGCTAAGAAATCCTATCGTGAAAACATTTAAACTCAGCATTTCTGAGAAATATAAACAGTCTCTCAGGTGTTTTTCAAAATGTAGGTCACAACCCATTAATAAAAATCAATTTAGTGGATCGGAATAGAAAATACTAAGCTGCATCAGTAAAGGTAAGCGTTATATTTCATTAAGCTTTTGTTTCAGTCACACACACATTATACTAAGACATGCTATCAAATATATTTCTTACTAAGTCACCACCAGAAAACTGAAAACCACTATGAATACAACAAACAAATCTTACCTCACTTACCATATTATAGAATTCTAACTCTCTTGGGCCCCTTGGAGGTGGCTGTAGCTGTTTCAAAACTGTGCCATCTGGATGTTGCAAGATACCTATAGAACAAAAATCAGATACTGTATTTTTTAATGCTTTAGTAATAGTGTATCTTGCATCCTAGAATAGATTTAGATGTGTTCCTGAAGTTAGAGATAAACGACTTTCATAAATTTAAGGGTTTCCTTTTACGTATTTCAGAAATTTTAACATTCAACCAACATGTTTCAGTGCTTGTTCTATGCAAAGCACCAGAACACAAATTCTAAATAGCTTGGTTTTATTGTCTCCACAACTATTCCCTTATAGCTCCTTCAGACTTTCCAGGAGATGTTAATTTATAGTTAAACAAGAAGCAAGTTAAAAGCAGTAGCAAAAATCGATCTCACTTTTATAGAGAAAAAAATGTTAACGGTGGACCAATATGAATCTTCTACTTTGTAATTTCTTATAAGTTTCTCTCATCTGTTATAAGAAAGCACATTTTTTTTTCTTGATTCAGATGTACTGTGTTGCAAAGATAGAATGAGGGCATCTAGCCAACGGGAAAGTGGGGCACCAAGTCAGAAGCAGGAAGGGGCACCTTTTTATAATCAGCCCACTCAAAGAAGGAGCCTTTTTCTAAAGTCATGTCCTAGCACTGGCCCTGTCCCTATACCATGAAGACTCATTCCCAAAAGTATGTTAAAATCTTAAATTTTCATATATTGAGTTTTCACGAAATCATGTTAGTTAGAACACAATAACAAGTCCAAATAAATCTATTTAAAACTTTGATAAAATATGCCACTTAGTTTCTATTGCTGTTGCCAAGTGTCAGGAATTTTTAATCATAATAAAAATGCAAAAATTAATCAATAGAAGCAGAGAGTTTCAATTTAAGATTGCAGTAATTAAGTTGTTTTAATACCTAGATATAGACTAGGTAAATATAAACCCATGTGGATAACATTGGTTGGTAAGCAGTCAAAGGACCTGGAGACTTTAAGAAATAGTCTAATAATAACTAAAAATTAGTGAAGAGAAAGTCTAATTCTGAAGGTTAGGATATGTAGAACAAGAAAGACCTTCACTCCCATGGTTAAGAGACATTTTCTATGAGCCAATGAAGAGTGAAAGATAAAAAGAAACCTTGATGAACTCAATTCCAGAAGGTGGCGAACATGGAGCATTCAGAAATGAGGAGAGAACCATGGCAGCTTCTCTTCCTTGGGACAGGCACCTAGTCTACATACAGGTGCACCTGCCATTAAACACATTTTGACAGGCAAGCAAAAATCAGCTTGACTATACACAACAATGTGGTAGCAGGATGGATTAGAGACAACAGTTCTAACGGATTGCTTGGTCCAGCAATTCTCCCACACTACTCACTCTGCAGCATACCCCATCTAATTTTTCAGAAAAAGTAGCCATGTAAGAGAATATGGTAATCCCCGGCATTCGCCCTGTGAATGAATTCCAGAATCCAAAAATAAACCAACAGTATTTTAAACTGCAGACAAATCCCTCCCACCTGAAAAAGTATCAAGATTTAAAAGGGGGGGGGGGGGGGGGGGGGGAAATAACAGAAATACTAAATCTAAGACAGTAGCCCAGCATCAGTTTAACTAAATTCTAGGAAGAATATGGCTTATCACATCGGCCTGCGGATTGAAAGGTCCCAGGTTCGATTCCGGTCAAGGGCATGTACCTGGGTTGTGGGCACATCCCCAGTAGGAGATGTGCAGGAGGCAGCTGGTCGATGTTTCTCTCTCATCGATGTTTCTAACTCTCTATCTCTCTCCCTTCCTCTCTGTAAAAAATCAAAATATATTTAAAAAAAAAAAGAATATGGCTTATCAGCCTCTTACCTTATCAGAGGAAAGGACTTATACTCTTTGTGGGGAAAAAAATTCCCTGCTGTTCTTTAAATAAAATGTGAAAAAATCCAATAAAAAAATCAATAAAACGTGATGCATAATCAAGAGAAAACAAAGTCAACTGACAAACACAGAAGTTGACAGATGACTAAGTAATTTTAATCAGCAAACAAAGATGTCAAAATGATTATAAACATGTAAAAAAGTTATAGAAAAAAATGACTATAAATGCTGAATAGATGAGGTATTTCATCTATTGGGAAACACTAATTGTGTTCAGGAGAGAAACAGAAATTGTAAAAAAGATCTAAAGCAGAGTTAAACAGGAATACTGGGGGGGAAAAAATCCTTTGGCAAATCAGCCTCTCTAAACATAAGATTACTAGAGGCCCGGTGCACAAAATTCATGCACTTGGTGGGGGGGGGGGTCCCTCAGCCCAGCCTGCACCCTCACAGTCCACAGTCCAGGAGCCCTCAGGGGATGTCTGACTGACGGCTTAGGCCTGCTCTCTGCCTAAGCCGTCAGTCGGACATCCTTAGCACTGCTGTGGAGGTGGGAGAGGCTGTGAGCCTGCCTCAGGGCTTCTGGCTGAGCGGCGCTCCCCCTGTGGGAGTGCACTGACCACCAGGGGGCAGCTCCTACATTGAGCGTCTGCCAGCTGGTGGTCAGTGCGTGTCATAGCAACTGGTCGTTCCATTCAACCAATCAAAGTGTAATATGCCGTTTGGTCAATTTGCATATTAGCCTTTTACTATCCTAAATAATAAAAGCCTAATATGCTAAGTGTCCAGTCGTCCGTTCAACCAATCAAAGCGTAATATGCTAATGATATGCTAAGGCCACTCAATCGCTTGCTATCATGTGCACTGACCACCAGGGGGAAGACCGGTCGCTATGACGTGCACTGACCACCAGGGGGGCAGATGCTCCAACCGGTATAGGTTAACTTGTTATTGGGGTAAGGACTGAGTGAGGCAGGCCAGACATGCCCTGGAGCCCTCCTGTGGTCCCTCCCCGACCCCGATCGTGCACCTGGCCTGTGCCCCCTCACAATCTGGGACCTCTTGGGGGATGTCAGAGAGGTGGTTTCAGCCCAATCCTACAGGCCAGGCCAAGGGACCCCACTGGTGCACAAATTGGTGTACTGGGCCTCTAGTATAGGATAACAGAGGAATTTCAAGCCCACGGAGCACTGAAAGTGTATTAGTCTGCTCGGGCTTCCGTAACAAAATACCATGGACATATGGTTTAAAGAGCAAATATTTATTTTCTCACTGTTCTAGAGGCTAAAAGTCCCAGTTCAAGGTGCCAACCAATTTGGCTCCTGGTAAGAGCTGTATTCCTGGATTGTAGCCTTCTCACTTTGTTCTCGCATTGTAGGGGAGAAGGAAATGAGGGAGAGGAGGAGTGGGAGGGGGGCAGGGAAGAGGGTGAGAGTGTGAGAGAGAAAACACTCTCATGTCTCTTTTTATAAGAACAAGAATCCCACTGGATCATGCCCCCACCCTGGTGACCTCATTAATCTTAATTACCTCCGTTAAAGCCCTATCTCCAAATACAATCATACTGGGGGTTGTTGTTTTTTTAACATATGAATTTTAGGGAACACAACATTCAGTCCATAACAGAAGATAACCATAACAACTACAAAATTCAAACTTGTTTTACTGACTAAACTGGTTCAATCACCAACATTAATAGTCTAGCAGAACAGATATTTTAATTTCAGGCAAAAATACTGTTTGCATAAGTTGTTTAAATCCTACACATAATGTCTAGAATTTAATTAAAAAAAATTATAAGACATATGAAAAAGCAAGGGTAAAAAATCACTGTCAAAAGATAATGCAACGAATAGAACAGTTTGAGGTGACACTGATGTTGTAATTATCAAAGACGCTTAAAATAACCATAACTAATATGTTAAAGGTTATAACAGAAAAGGCAGTAGACAGATGCATGAAGAGATAAGGAATTTCAGTAGAGAGGAATTTTGAGTAAATAGAATATTAGTAATAAAAAACATATAACAGAGACAAAAATGCTTTCTATGGGCTCATCAATAGACACAAAGTAGCAGAGGAAGGAATCAGTGAATTTAATGACAGGTTAACAGAAATTACTCAAATTGAAACACAAGAAGGAAAAAAAAAGAAAGTAGAAAACAATCAGAAGGAAGTACCCACAAAATCTGTGGAATATCAGTCTGAGAAAACTATCATTAGAATTCCACCCCCTCTTCCCTAAAACATGAACAACAGTA